TATTCCAGCATTGCAAATATGGTTCAGTATCTGACATTTATTAACATCTCTCAACATATTAATAGGTAAAAGGAGGGGGAAACATGACTATTTTAATAAATATATGTAAAGTGTTTGACAGAATTAAAACAGAATCCTTTAATTAGGACCATTTCTTATTTTAAAAACCTTCAGTGAAGTATGAGTAGATGAATATTTTTTGAAGTGATAAAACAGCATTATGCTTAATGATGACACATTATACATAGTCTCATTAACTCAGAAATATTAAAGATACCCTCAATCATAACTTTACTTGTTAGTTTTATGGAATTATTAGCCAACACAAGTAGACAATAAAGTGGGATGAGAAACTTAAATATAGGACAAGAAAAGGCATAGTTGTTATTATTTTTACACCTGTAAAAATAAAAGAATCACGTGAAAAATATATATGAAGCAAAGTAAGGTAGCATGTTACAAAATTAATACACTCTGAAATCATAGATCCTTTATGCAGAAAGTAATCAATTAGAAAATGTACTGAACAAAATAGATGACATTCAAAATAACAGCCCAAACTAAACCAAAAAAAAAACAAAAAACCTTAAGTAGAAGTATGCAGGCTCTGCATTAGTAGTTCTTAATTAACCCTGACTGGGGTTAAGCTCTTAATAAATATACAATGCCTGTGCTCCACACCAAAACAATTAAGCTTTTGGTGATGGGACCTAGACATCTGTATTTTTTAAACCATCTAAGTGATTGTAATGCACAACCAGGGTAAAGAACCACTGTTCCATATGAAGAACTATTAAAACAAATAATATATGAGAATATGTATCCTTGTTCTTGAATAGGAAGACTTAATGTTGTATAAATGTCATTTTCTTAAGTCTGTAAATGCAATGTATTTTTAATTAAAACATCAATTGATTTTAAAACATAACAAGTATTTCAGAATAGCTAGGTAAACTTTGATAAGGAAAAGAAATAAGTGGGGACTAACATTAATGGATATGAAAACAGTTTAAGAACTGGTATTTTTAAATAGTATGGGATTAATAGAAGAATAAAAAGAAGAGTGAAACAGAAAAAGAGTGAAAAATAGAAGCAATGTGTAAGCAAATGACATAAGTGAAAACTACAAAAGTATCATTTAAATCAGGCCAGTAGATGGACTAGGTATTGGGACAGATAAATAGCCATATGGACCTCTGGCAACTAGACTGTAAGCTCCATAAAGTCAAGAACAATTTTATATTCATCAAAAATTTAAATCTCAAAAGTGAAATCAGAAAAGTATGAGAGTGGTTTTTATATATTTTATATATTATATATCATGATATAAATGTTGGAATAGATATCATACATCTAAGCATGAATTTGTCTGAGGTTCTCTTGCAGTGATAAAATGTAAAATGTAAAACTAAGCATATTTATCCATCTTTTCTATGATAGTTTGATACATGTACATAGATATTTCAGCATATCAAAATAAAACGTCAGCACTGGCCGGTTTTGCTCAGTGGTTAGACCGTCTGCCCGTGGACCAAAGAGTCTTGGGTTTGATTCCGGCCAAGGTCACGTACCTCAGTTGCAATTTGTCCCTGGTTCCAGTTAGGGTCCTGTGGGTGGCAACCAATAGATGTGCCTCTCTCATGTTGATGTTTCTCTCTCTTCCTCTCTCTCTCCCTCTCGCTCTATCTGAAAATAAATGTAAAAATATCCTCGGTTGAGGATAAAAAATAAAAAAAAGAAAACCTCAAAGTCAATACAAATATTTTCTAATTTTTCTTGTGATTATTTCTTTCATCTATTGGTTATATACCAGTATATTCTTTAATTTCCAAATATTTGGAGATTTTTTTAGATATATTTTGGTTACTGATTTCTAGTTTAATTTTGTTGTACAATTATACAGAGAACATACACTGTATGATTTTAATTCTTTTACATTTGTTAAAACTGCTTCTATGGCTCAGCAGATGGTCTGTCTGGGTGAATGTTTTATGAGCACTTGAAAAGAATGTATATCCTGTTGTATGTATGATTCAGTAAGTGTCAATTAGGTCAAGTAAAGTTGCTTAAGTTTTATAAGTCCTTATTTATTATCTATCTACTTGTTCTATCAATTACTAAGAGAGGAATGCTGAAGCCTCCAGCTACAATGATGAATTTGACTGTTTTTCTTTTCTGTTCTGTCAGTTTTTGCTTCCTGTATTTTGAAGCTCTGTGATTGGATGCATACATATCTACAGTTAGATGAATTGACTCTTCTGTCATTATGAAATGTCTGTCTTTATCTCTGGTAATAGTCCCTGTTCTGAAATCTGCTTTGTCTGATACTAATATAGCCACTTCAGCTTTCTTAGAGTAAGTGTTTGCATAGTATATCTTTTTTCATCAATTTACTTTCAACTTATATGTGTCTTTATTTTAAATAAAAATAAAGTGGGCTTTATATCAGACTTCTTATAGGCCGCATATAATTCGATCTTGCTTTTTTCATTCATTCTTGCATCCTCTATCTTTTAATTGGAGTGTTTAGATTATTTATATTTAATTAATATGATTTATATTTATCAATATGACTTGGTTTAAGTCTACCATGTTGCTTCTTGTATTCCATTTGTCTCACCTGTTCTTTGTTCTGTTTTTAATTCTTTTTCTCTTCTATCACATTGAGTTTTTGTTTGTTTGTTTTGTTGTTAATCCTCACTAAGGATATTTTTCCATTGATTTTTAGAGAGAGTGGAAGGATGGAAGGGAGGGCCAAAGAGAGAGAGGGAGGGAGGCAGGGAGGAAGGGAGGAAGATCAATTGGTTGCCTCCCACACACAGGAACCTGTAACCCAGTACGTGCTCTTGACTGGGAATCAAATGTGAGACCCTTTGGTGCGTGGGCTGAAGCTGTAACCACTGAGCAAAACCGGCCAGAGCACGTTGAGTATTCTTTCTTAGTGTTTCATTTTATCTCCACTATTCATTTATTCACTGTGCCTGATTGTTTTATTTATATAGTGGTTGCTCTAAAGTTTATAATATGCATCTAACTTTTATTTATGTAGTGGTTGCTCTAGAATTTATAATAAGCATCTACCTTCAAATAATATTTTAGTACTTCGTGTGTTAGGTAAGAACCTTATAACAGCATACTTCCATATCTCCTCTCCTATTCTGTGTGTGGTTGCTGTCATACATTTTACCTCTACCTATGTTATAAATTCCCTAATATATTAGTATTATTTTTGCCTTAAACAGTCAGTGTTCTATAAAAAGTTTTATATTTTAATCATTTCTAGTGCTCTTCATTCTCTTGTGTAGACCAAGATTTCTCAGTCTCAGCACTGTTGACACTTTGTTGTGGGAAGCTGTGATGCACCCACTGTAGGATGTTTAGCAGCATCAGTGGCTCTACTTATTAGATGCCAGTAACAACTCTTCCCCAAGTTGTGCCAACCATAAATGTCTCCAAACATTGCCAAATGTTTCCTGGAGGACAACACTGTCACCAATTGAGAACACTGGTATAGGTTGAAGTTTCTATATGATTTAATTTTCCGTAAGTCTTAAAACATTAATTGAACATTTGTTTTACTTCTGGACTCTTGGTAACAAATTCTCTCAGCTTTTGTCTAAAAAAGGCATTATTATTTCACATTTAGTTTTGAAGGATATTTTCACATATATAATTCACTATTACCAATATTTTCCTTTAAGCATTTTAAATATGTCATTTTATTGTCCTCTACATTTCATTGTTTCCAACAAGAAATCAATGGTAATTCTTTTTTATTCAGTTTATATTTTAAAATAGTAACTATTATTATTATTTATATATGTAGTATGTCTTTTATTTGACTGCTTTTAAGATTTTCTCTTTATCATTGGTTCTCAACAGTTTTATTATGATATGCTTGATTGGTTTTCTTTGTGTTAACTCTGCATGGGGTTCATTGGCTTTTCTGGATATTTATGTTTATAGTTTTCATTGAATTTTGGGGGAAATTCATCATTTTTTAAAATATTTTTTTCTTCCCTATCGCTTTCTGGGACTATAACTGCACATATATTAATTAGACAACTTGATGTTGTCCCACAGATCACAGAGGCTTCATTATTTCCATTGCTATTTCTTCCAGTTCTTTGATTTTTTTCTGCAGTATCTAAAGATCTATTCATCTCATTAAGTGAAATTTTCATTTTGGATATTGTATTTCTTCCCATTTGGTTCTTTTTTTATATCTTTCTTTTCTTAATGTGTTTATGTTTTCCTTTATAACTTTGAGCATATTTATGACTGTTTTCAAATCCTTGTCTGGAAATTCTATTATCTATGTCTTTTTTGTTTTTTTTGGGGGGGGGGGGAATTCTATTTCTTTTTTGGACGGGGACTAAGATTTACTGATTTTATTTATTTATTTCTATTAATTAATTAATTATTGTTACAGATGTTTCTCCTTTTCCCCCCACTGATTCCCCCAGTTTGGTTGTCCATGTCCATTGTTTATGCATACATGCATATAAGTTCTGTGGTTTATCTCTCCCCTGCCGCCACCTCTTCTGGGGATTGTCAGTCTGTACCTCACTTCCATGTCTCTGGGACTACCACATTTCTCAGACTGTTATGTTTATTATTTTCTGCAAATAAGTGAGATCATATGATATTTTTCTTTCTCTGTTTAGCTTGTTTCCCTTAGGATAATACTTTCCAGGTCCCTCCATGTGATCTCAAAGAATAAGAGATCTTTCTTTCTTATGGCTCCATAGTACTCTATTGTATATATGTACCACAGCTTTTTTTATAGATTGTCTACTGATGGACATTTGGGCTGTTTCCAGATTTGGTGTTTCAAGCTTCTTGGGGTATAATCCTAGAAGTGGGATCACTGGGTCAAATGGAAGTTCAATTTTTAATTTTTTGAGGTAACACCATATTGTTTTCCATAGTGGCTGCACCAGTCTGCATTCTCACCAGCAGTGTACTAGAGTCCCCTTTTCTCCACACCCTCACCAACACTTGTTGTTTGATGATTTGTTGATGGCGGCCATTCTGACAGGTATGAGGTGATACCTCATTGTTGTTTTAATTTGCACCTTTCTGATGATTAGTGATGTTGAGCATTTCTTCGTATGTCTCTTAGCCATTTGTATGTCCTATTTGAAAAGGTGTCTGTTTAGTTCCTCTGCCCACTTTTTAATTGGGTTCTTTGTCTTCCTTTTATTGAGTTGTGTAAGCACTCAATATATATATTGGAAACTAACCCCTTATCTTATATATCATTGGCAATTATGCTTTCCCATACAGTGGGTTGCCTTTCCATTTTGATGATTGTATCTTTTGCTGCTTTTGAGTTTGATGTACTCCCATGTGTTCATTTTCTCCTTTTTTTCTGTTGCCTTAAGTGATGTATCACTAAAAATTCTGCTGCGTATGATGTCTGAAATTTTGTTGCCTACAGTTTCTTCTAGGATATTTATAAATTCATGAGTCACATTTAAGTCTTTTATCCATTTTGAGTTTATTATTCTGTATGGTGTAAGTTGATGGTCTAGTTTCATTTTTTTGCATGTAGGTGTCTTTACTCCACTGTATGCTCTTGCCACCTTTGTCAAATATTAATTGAGCATATTGCCTTGGGTCCATTTCTGGGTTCTCTGTTCTGTTCCACTGGTCTATATGCCTGTTCTTGTGATGGGGATTGCATTGAATCTATAGATTGCTTTGGGTAGTATGGACATTTTAATGATGTTAATTCTTCCAATCCATGAACAAAGTATGTGCTTTCACTTTTTTATATCTTCTTTTATTTCTTTTTTCAATGACCTGTAGTTTTCTGCGAATAGGTCCTTTATTTATTTGGTTAAGTTTATTCCTAGGTATCTTAATTTTTTTGCCGCGATGGTAAATGGGATTGTTTTTTCAGTTTCTCTTTCTGTGAGTTCATCATTGGTGTATAAGAATGCCATCAATTTCTTGATGTTAATTTTGTATCCTGCTACTTTGCCAAATTCATTTATTAAGACTAGTAAATTTTTGATGGAGTCTGTGGGATTTTCTACGTATAGTATCATGTCATCTGTGAATAATGACAGATTCACCTCCTCCTTTCCAATTTGGATCCCTTTTAGTTTTTTCTTTTTGTCTGATTGCTGTGGCTAAGACTTCCGGTACTACGTTAAATAAGAGTGGTAAAAGTGGGCATCTTTGTCCTGTTCTTGTTCTTAAGGAAAATGCTTTTAATTTTTGCCCATTGAGTATGATGTTCACTGTAGGTCTTTCCTATATAGCCTTTATTATGTCGAGATATGATCCCTCTATTCCCAGATTCCTGAGCATTTTTATCAGAAATGGGTGCTGGATTTTGTCGAATGCTTTTTCAGCGTCTATTGATATGATAATATGATTTTTACCTTTTATTTTGTTTATGTGGTGTATCACATTTATTGATTTGTGAATATTGTACCAGCATTGCATCCCTGGGATGAATCCCACTTGGTCATGGTGAATAACTTTTTTGATGTATGGCTGGATTCAATTTGCTAGTATTTTGTTCAGGATTTTGGCATCTGTGTTCATCAGGGATATTCCTCTGTAGTTTTCTTTGTTTGTAGTGTCTTTTTCTGGTTTTGGAATTAGAATTATGCTGGCCTCATAAAACGAGTTTGGAAGTGTTCCTTCTTCTTGTATTTTTTGAAATAGTTTGAGGAGAATGGATATTAGTTCTTTGAATGTTCGGTAAAATTCCCTCATGAAGCCATTCGGGCCTGGGCTTTTGTTTGCTGGGAGAGTCTTGATTACATCTTCAATATTTTTTGTTGTTATTGATTTGTTCAAGTTTTCTGTCTCTTCCCAGTTTAGTTTTAGGAGACTCTGTGTTTCTAGAAATTGGTCCATTTCACTTAGATTGTCGAATTTGTTGCTGTATAATTGTTCATAATATCTGTTAACAATCCTTTGTATTTCTGTGGTGTCAGTTATTATTTCTCCTCTTTCATTTCTGATTTTGTGTATTTGGGTTCTCTCTCTTTGTTTCTTGGTAAGTCTAGCTAAGGGTCCATCAATCTTGTTTATCTTTTCAAAGAACCGGCTCTTTGTTTCATTGATCCTTTGAATTTTTTTTTTGGTCTCTATGTCAGTTATTTCTGCTCTGATCTTTACTATTTCCTTCCTTCTTCTTGCTCTGGGGTTTTCTTTTTGTTTGCTTTCTAGTTCTTTAAGTTGTCATAAATTATTGTATCTCCAGGCAAATTTACATGTATGTACTGACATAGAAAGATTAATATGATATACTAAGTGGAAATACATTTTAGAACAGAATAGATTTTATAACTATGGGGAAAGAAAGGAGTTACATTCAGTATATGTTTGCTCTCTTCATAGATACTTAATCTAATCTCATGACCTTTAATAGTAAATATTTGCTGATCTTTGCTCCAGACTCATAAAGAGTCTACTTTACATCCCTTTGGATGTTAATAGGAGTTTCCAATTTAACATGGCCAAAGCAGAAATTTTTTTTAGATGTTTTATTTATGGTTGACACTATCACAGCTGTCCCCCATTCCCCTCCCCTCCCCCACCCCCGCACTCACCTCCCTCAGAACTCTTGATTTACCAATCTTCTCCTCCCTGCTCAGACTTCTCCATTTCAGTATGTGGAAACACCCTTCAAACATTTGCTCATGTCAAACACCTGGGAGTAAAGAACTTTTTCTCACTAAGCCTTCCACTCCACACTGTTCAGTGTGGATAAAGGAGTCAGAAATCTTGAAGATTAATAGAGCATTGCCTGGTTGTAAAATAATAAAATAGGCACCACGTTTTTAGCTAACAATAAATTATAGTCACTGTATCAGGCATTTCATATACATTACTCATTTAATTCCCATAAATTCTGTAAGTAAAGTGTTATTTATCCATTTTATAATAGAGTTTAAAATTTCCGGTGATAATGCTTTAATGAAAAATGAGCTCTATGTGTGTGTGTTTAAATCCCCTAATGTTTCTCTTCTTTTGTTGCAATCCATAGTTTCTGCAAGAAGATGGTTACCAGGTAATGTAGATACCCTGAGAATACCAGCTTGGTCCCAAGGTAGGTGCTAGTTGAAGCATATTAGGTACTTCCTGTGAAGCATTGATTCTCACAACTGGTATTTACAGATAGGCCTTACACACCACTTCTTCACTAGTTCAAATTCTATGGTACAGAAGTCACTTTTTGTCATTATATAAAAGTGTCCTCTTCCTTAGTTATATAAAAATATTAGCTGGCTTTATGTGTAGAAGGATGCAGTTGTTTTTGTTTTTAATCTTCACCTGAGGACATGAGAGAGAGAGAGAGAAACATTGATGTGAGAGAGAAACATCCACCGGTTGTCTTCCCTACCTGCCCCCACCAAGGATCAAACCCACAACCCAGGTATGTGCCCTGACCGGGAACCAGCAACCTTTTGGTGCACAGAATAACGCTCAACCAACTGAACCACTCTGGCCAGGTTCAGGATGCAGTTTTTAAAATAAATTGTATTCAATGTGGCATTATTTAGTCAGCAGAATTGCAAGTGTTTTGAAAATTAATTTCATCATGCTGTTCTAAGTAACAAAAAAATTAATAAAGTCACAATGCCCCTGATGACCTCACATTGCAGTGGGGTAGACAGACTTGTAAACAGATATATTAAAGCAGAAGGTGGTAAGCACTCTTCTAAAGATTGAGCAGAGTGCTGGCAGTGCAATGGCACAGAGGACTCTGCCTGAGGGAGTCAAGAAGTTTTAACAGAATAGGTGACATTTGAGCTAGTTCTTAAAGGATGGGCAAGAGTTTGCCAGGTGAATGAGATGATCTCTATATAAAGTGCCTAGTACAGGGCCAGGCATTTGGTAAGACCCAATAAATGTTAGCATCTAGTTGTAGTCAGGAAGTGTTCCAGGCAGAGGACACAGGTCAGTTCAATTCAAGGAACACTTATTGAGTACCTTGTATATGTCAGGCCCTGTTCCAGGTTCTCTAGCCCTATGTGCCAAGTACATCTTGTGAAGAAAGATAATTCCACAAGGGTCTGGTGTGAGACATATCCAGAACGACTATTTATAGATTTTGCTCTCAAGATGGAGCAGGGATGTTTGTTTTAACACTGCTGACACATTCCAACTTGATTGCAACCCCCTACAACAGCATTGACAACACTGAGATGTAAGCAGCTAATGCCTGTTCCAGACTCAATTTCATAAAGGTGGTGAGGACAGTCTAGCCTAGCCTCCTGCTGTGTTTTGGGTCACTTTGATATGTGCTCAGGTCAGGTCCAGGCAATAGTTTTTCCTCATAATATGGATGAAAGAGTCCAGAAACCTGCATTTCTGTTCCAGCTTATTGACCCAGAAGATTCCACTTGCCCCTTTATCATACCCAACCACCAAACCCTGATGCTTTGTTCTGCAGTAGAGTAGGAAATAGCATTAAATAAATAGAATCCATACTGAATTTATTATACTAAATACAGAACCTATACATTTCTACATCTAAAATAGAACATTTATAAAGGTAGGGGACATTCTATGATTGTTTTCAGTGGCATTTTACTAGCATAGCTGGGTTACAAAAAATAGAAGGAATGTGCCAGGTGTTTTACAAGCATTTTATTTAAATCTCACAGCAATTCTGTAAGGTAGAAATTATTGTAACTATTATACAAATTAGGAAACTAAGGCACAGAGTATTTAACTTAGACTAAAAATGGTAGCACTGGGATTTGAAACCAGTTCTATCCAACTTGGACCCCACTTTCTTTCTACTATAGCAGTGTCCCATTTTAATGCTACAGTTTATTGTGTTTCTGCCATGTGCCAAACACAATGTGAGATGCTCAAATACATTCTCTGTAATCCTCATGCATTTTCTTTAATACAACATTTAAAGTAACTAACTGCCTTGCTAGAAATCACACAGCCAGCATATTAGAGATCTCAATTCAAGCCTAGTTCTGAGACTCATAAGCCTGTTTTCTTTCTATTGTACTATACCAGTAGTTCTCAATCCTGGGCATACATTGAAATCAAATGGGGAGATTTTTTTTAAAGCCCTACCCCCAGAGAGTCTAATTAATTGAAGTAGAACCCAGGTGATTTTAGAGCTTCCAGGTGATTTTAATGTGCTGTTTGATTTGAGACCATAGCTCTCAAAGGTTAAAGTGATTAAGAAGCATCAGGTAAGCCACAATTTCTCTTTTCATAATATATTGGTGGAAAAGGTCCCTTGTAAAGTGATTGTATTTTCCTAAAAAGTACTGAAGAACATAGAGGAGGGAGTATGGGTGTTGGAGTAAGTTAGACCTAACTTTGAACTTTAACTTTGACTCTTGCTGAGTGGCCCTTGGCAAGTTACTCAGCATTCAGTCAAGTATTAATTATGAAACAAGTAAAAGGTATTCTTCAGAAGAGGATTATACCTTGAAATAAATGGAGTGAATATTGCCTCTGGTGGCCTACTATTGAGAGTAAGTCTGCAGACAGTGTGTTGAAAAGGCCCTGGGAAAACTCTTTAGTTTTCCTAATCAACCTGACCATAAAACCCATCCCACTGCCAAACATTCCCCAAGCAACCAGAGGCCTTTCTCCTTACAGCTACTCAGGGGTGATCCTTTATTGCCAGACCATGTGGTATTGTTGAGAGATGACCAGGAGAGGAGGTTTCCCTTTTAGCCAGAGATGCCAGGGTAGGATATGTATGCTTAGGTGGGAGGGAAAGGGGGTGGGTATTTTAATGTCTTATAAAGAGCTTGAAATATATTTTACAATAGAAACAATGCCTGGATGTTAATTTGGTTTCTTGGCTATTCAATTGAAGTCAATTCATAATTTTTCCAGAAATGCATATATTTTATATACAAATAGCACTATATTTCAGTAACCTTTTGGGTCCAAAAGACAATGAGGAATTAGTGTAGAAGCGTTACCATCATTTATAACATTGTTTCTATGAGAAATCTGGGGTCACCACTTAGGACTCCAAGAAACAGCTTCTCTCCTCTCTAACTCAGCTTAACAAATATTGTGCCCACTAGTCATCTAGTGAAGACTGAGGCAGCACAAATAATGCTGTTTGCTCTCTGGAGTTTAACAGTACTCTTTAAGCTACTGATTATAAGATTGCAACATACTTCAGGTCAGAGGCTATTTCTTTCCTTCATTTGTGTCCCCCCTTCCTCTCAAGCAACCTACCATATAATATTAGCACATAGAGGACATTATCACTTACATAGATTAGATTTTTAATCATTAATGGAAAACTGGACATTGGTAGTCCATACCATGCAGTGACAAAATATTCCTGAAATAATCACCTATTGTTTCCTGGAATCGAGTGCATCTCAATGACTAGATTTTAGAAGACTAAGGGGCTGGTACAGTGAAATAACATGGTAGAAACTTTGATTATAAGGGCCGTGGGGGTGGTTTTGATTACCCTGGAAAGCTTACAGAAAGAAAATGACAAACTTGGGGACTTACATTTTCAGCCTAGGATACTGTTAGAGAATCAGAAAACTTCTTTGACTACCTAAAAAAAGTCTCATTTCTTATACCAATGGGGCTGAGGTACACACACACACAAACACACACACACACACACACACACACACACAAACAAACCTAAGTTTGATTCTGCAGCTTTATGCATTATACGGTAGGATTTCTAGGCACTGATTAGGTGGGTAGGATCCTGATAAAGCAAATACTTGGGTAAGTTCTAATGAATCCAGCTACCTTGAGTCCCCAGGTGGCACTGAGTCTTAGTTGTCAGTAAAGGCAATCCTTCTTCCTCTGTCTGATAATCTCAGTCTCCCTTTGCCTGATAACCTGTTTTAATATTATCTGAAGTAGTTGATTTGACCGTGATGAATCTCCTTAAGGTCAATCCCCACTACATCTCATGGTTTCCAGACCCAGGCCTATTTCATAATTAGATTCAAATCCTGAAAGACTTAAGAGAAGAAGGGGAAAAGAGAAAAATTGGAAAATATACATGATAAATACAGTCCTCATTTCTACACAGTTTATGGGCCATAGTTAGCATTTGCAACTTCCTTCTTCCACTACCTTTCCTCTGTTCTCTATGTCCTCAGCTAATACTTTAGATAGTTGTGATTATTTAGCAGTCAGGGTGACCTAAACTTTTATTCCTAAAAGATCTGAACCAGTAGTGGTTCTTTCTTGGTGTGGGTTACTCTAATCTTCTAGTAGCTTTTGCCATGGACATGAGAGTAGTACTAACATTTTCCCAGAGAACTTCTGAGCTTCCAGACATAGTCTTCCCTCCCTTTGCTGTGTAATACCAACCCTTTTTCTTTTTTATAATTAGGGTCAGTTGTGCCAGCCAATACAGTAATCACTTTCTTTGCTTGTGGTTCAGTGGCTGATGTAACAGGCTCAGCTTCCATTCAGTGGAATCCTTTTGGTGTTTTTTAGAGAAAGTATTCCTCCCTTGGAAACTAAGAACATATAACATTGTGTGGATGAAAACAAAAGTTGTGTGAGTAGATCATTAGGAATTATAATGAAGGATCCACCATTACTTCTACATTTTGGTTCATGGATCTGACTATTCTGGTTATGAAAGAAATGACATTATATATTGGTTGCTGGCTCAGAGAATATAGTATTACTTGTTTGAGCTTTCCAGTCCCACAAGTGTCAATATAAGTGAGTTATCAATAAATCATTCTACCATTCAAGTCAACTTCTTCCTGTGGACATAAAATCATTTCTTCAAACTTATTCTTTAATGGAGTTCCTTAGTCAAAAGCAATATTTTATGGAATTTTAGAAGAGTGAACAAGGAAATCTCTAAGTCCATGGATAGTGGTGCTAGTACAAACATTACAGGCAAAAAAGGCAAATTCATATTCAGATTAAGTGTCTTTTCCTCCATGATGTTTAGAGGTTCAGTGTAATCCATTCACCATTAGGTGGCTAGCAGGTCCTGGGATTGGTGTCATTTTAGGAACTCAGTGTTGGTCTCTGATGTTGGTGAGATAGGCCCTCCAATGATAGTAGCCAGATCAGCCTTGATATAGGGAGTTTTATGTTCTTAAACCTGCACTGTTGCCAGGGCTATTATGTTCAATGGGCCCACTGTCTAAGTGCCAGGGTAGCTGGGAAAGACAGCTAACTGACATCCACAAGGTTGCTCATACTGTTTATTTGATTATTGAGAATCTCTGTTTTAGTGGATGCCTTTTAGTAAGCCTTTGTATAGGACACACATGTCTTCACTCTGTCTACTCTGAGAGTCCCATCCACACAACTCTTCCTCAAGACCTCCTTTTAACCACTCTCCCAATCCTATTTCTTCAAGTCCCTGACTCCTCAGTCAAATAGCCACTTGCCTGTGAATCAATGTAGATCTCTGCTTCAGCCTATCTCTCAGCCAGGCGAGTGGACAGTCAGGTTTTAATATATACATCATGAAGTCTTTCATCCTAAGGTAGAGGCAGCCTCCCAGTAGTCTCTATAGTGTCCCCATTGGTCATGAAACCAATAAACCTCTACAACCTTTGAAGTCTGAATGGGACAAACTTCTATCTTGTTCTTATTTCATTTTTTTTTCATCCTCACCCGAGGACATTTTTCCATTTTTTACTCAGACAGAGCGGGAAGGAGAGAGAGGAAGAGAGAGAAACATCAATGTGAAAGGGACACATCGAGTGGCCGCCACCCACACGACCCAACCAGGGCCTGGGACAAACTGGCACATGCCAAGGCACATGCCCTTAGCGGGAACCGAACCCGGGTCTCTGTGGACCGCAGGCTGACGCTCTAACCGCTGAGCCAAACCGGCCAGGGCTTGTTCTTATTTCTTAAAGCCCTCCTCTTCCTCTTTCTCCAGGGCTTTTCTGTAAATGATAAGAGGAATTTTTTAAAAGCTTTCTGTAAATGATAAGAGGAATTTTTTAAACCTCAGACAGCTTTGGTTTTCCCCATACAAAAAAATTCCACAAGCAAAGAAATAGAAAATAATCTGGAAATAAAAAAATTACAAAGAAAGTAAAAATAATTTCTCAGAAGCTATCCCACATATAATTCTTTATACTTTTCAAAGCTCTTTCAAATACTTTATTTTAGTAGATACACACTGAAGCACTGTGAAGTAAATATAGCTAATATTATACGCATTTTAAAGATGACAGAACTGAACTGTGGAAAGATAAAGCGACTTTGCCAAAGGTTCCATAACTACCCAAGAATATAAGCAGGGACCAGGATTTTATCTTCTACTCCAGTGACTGAAGAATAAATGCACAAACCGCAGGGTCATGAAATATCTGGGGAACCTTGATTTTTGAAGTAGAGAAGGAGAGGTATTGCTTGATGGAAGAAAGATGAAGCAAAGAACACTCGGGAATGGGTGAGCATCAGTCAGGCTTTCCAGAAAAATTCAGTATAATAACCATTGCAATCTGTGCTGTTACTTTCTTTTTCTGAGTGCAATATCAAGAGTTTGTTAGAGGTAAAGAAAGGGGAAGGACATGAAAAGCATACTAAAGGCCAAAGAAATATTTCAAAAAGATCAAAATAGCAGAGATGGGAACATAGGTAACCTAGGAAGGACAGAACAACTTAACATTCCAAAAAATAAATTCAAGGATGATATGAAGTTGTATAAACTCATAAAAGGACAAAGAGGCAAGAAAAAAATAAGTGTCATGTTAATATGTTGATTAGAAGATTAGAAATTTCTCTTTTTGGCAAAAATTGAGTCTGAATTAACCAAATCAAGTAAATAGTTTATTTTTAAAATCATTGTAAGTTTCTGAGACTTAGCCTGGCTTCATTATTTTGTGTGTTATAGATACTTTTATTTGTTATGACAGAGAACTCCACCTGTATAAACAGATCCGAGAACTGGGCAGATGTCTTTATTTCCTGGTAATCCTAGGTCTGTGACCTAAAGCAAGTCATTTAACCTCCCTGGGCTAAGGACCTGTTTCATCAATTATAAAATAAAGAGATAATGCTAAATGTTCTCTAAGCCTTCTTCCAACTTTGAAACTCAATTATTCCACGAAAATTGAAATTATCTTTACACAAACCTCGATTTAGGCTCTTGAGTTAAAATTTAAAAAGATAGGCTCCAGCAGGGGTCACTGTAGTCACATTGAGCCCTGAGTCTGATTTTTTATATTGTAGTTGACTGTACACATCACATCGCCCTTTGTCTTGATTTTCTCTTTGAAATTCCATAGACACTCTGTACCTAGATGTTATCTGAACTGATCTTCAAATGTACTGAGAAAACCCACTGCAAAAGTTTTTGTATTCTTTGTTTCTTTTCATTTATTTTATTTATTTTTCCTATCATTGGGAAATCATTTACCTCCATTGAGTCTGAGGTTCTTCCAGAAAATTTATTTTATTTTATTAACTATGTTAAATTTTTTACCTCTTAGAATTGTGATGAATATAAAATAGTGTATACTTCTTTAAATATATGAGATTATATTAAAATGAAACACACAAAATTCAATTCTATCCTGAAGGGGTTTTCTTAAAGTCTGTGAACACCTGAAAAATGTAGTCACCTCTTTCAGAATCCATCCATCCATTTGTGAGATTTCAAGAATTCTATTAATTGCTTATATTCTCCCATAGTTATTTTACTGTGTAAATGAAATCATATAAGGACTAGTTAATATATCCAAGAGTAGGTAAATATTTCAATGACAGTTCTAATTTCAAATATCCTATTTATAAAATTATATATTTTTGCTCTGAAAACATAGTGACTACGGCATATAACATAGAGAGTTCGGGGTCACTGTCTGTGATGTTGAAAGATAGGCATCCAACAAAGTCAGCGTTACTCCCAGAAAGTCACACAACTCTCCAGAGTCCAAAGTTTCAGAATTAAGTCCTTAGTCTTAAATCCTAAATATTGGGACTCTTTAGAACTCCAAAGGGTCCAGTCTTCCCTAAAGCCTCTCTCCAAACTCCATATGTTTATACAAAACTTGACAATGGTTCTATTGTGCCAGGCATAAGAAACTTCACTCTTATGCCATAAAGAGCAATGTCTCTTGTTCTTTGGCCTGATGTATATGGCACCCCTATCATGACAATACTTAGTCCAGAATAGTTCTTAACAGATGTATGGTGGGCACATTTTATTCTTCCTTTTCCTCCTTACACATACCTGCCTGCCTCTCTCAACGGCAGCCCTAGCGGCTGCTGCTTTCATTTCCAATATTATTATTTTAAAGTCCTAATCTAGGCAGCTAATTGGGTTTCTTTCCAATTATTAATAAGCCTTTCATAGTCTTCTTTTATAGTGAACCTGGTAACAAATTGAACAAAAGTGATGATATATGACTTCTAAGATGCAGTCACGGGAAGAAAGCATTACTACTCCTGCTGTGGTCTCTTGTATTGCTTGCTGTGGGGAAGCCAGTTGCTATGCCTCAAGCAGAGCTCTGGAGAGGAACTGAGCCCTCCTGACAGGCCAGCACCAACTTGCCAGCCACATTAGTGAGTCACCTTGGAAGCACATTCTTCCCGGGCGTATTGAGCTTCCTCTTCTTTCCAGAGTTCTGCAAAGAAGCCTTCTTCTCTTTACTTGTATATAGCCTCAAAAACCACCTTTGCTCTTGATTTTACACAACCATACTTATTCAACTGCTTGGGATGAATTCCAGCCTGGGTCAAGTATGTACCCCTTGTTCAGTCACTTATGGCAGGGAAGGGTGCCGCAAATCGTTTCTACAGTGTTCCATCCTTCTCCCCAGCACTAGTACTTAGCACATTGTAATCTAATGGCCTGCTTACTTTTAGGTATCCATTCTATTCTATAAGCTTCTCAAAAGCAGGGACTCTGGCCTATTACAGATGTATCCCCAGCATCTAGCACAGTACCTGGCACATAGTATGTAGTAAAAATAAAGTGCAATAAGCTTTATGAAAAAAGACTTTGGCATTTTTGCTGTAGGGTTGTTACCATGTTCATAGAAGAACCACCCATACAATATAAGAACTGAATTTAGTATTTCCGAGAATATGAAATGCCTATAAAAATTTAATGATGTATTGTGTTTAAAAAGAAATTGTTTAATGCCATGTAAATCAGATTACTTACCAGTGGTACATGTCTGCATTTGGGGAGAGAAACAAAAGCTCATTTTAAGTTTAATTCTAAAAGACTGTAAATAAATTATTACTAAAATTGTTAGTTTGACATCTTATATATAAATTTATTTCAGAAAGTCTGTTATCTCACAGGAATCTAACACTGATATTTTTATAACAATCCAAAGGAATGTATTCAAGTTATAATGAAATATGATACAAGTGACCTACTTTCAAAGGTAAGAAAGTGTTTCCTCTATTTCTTAAAATAAAAGATCATTTATTTTTATCAAGCTAGTACAGTTCATCCTCTTTTATTTAAAAATAAAAATCACAAGTGGCCCAAGTGGAATCATTTTAAGGACTAAAGTAGTCATAATTCACATTAGTGATTACAAAGCCTAATCAATGACATAAATTATGTCTCTTAAATGTCTAGAGGCCAAACTTTGGATCTAAAGTTGTCCCAGAATGTCCTTGTGATCCCTTTCCACTATGAAATTTTATGATTCTAATAATAAGCATAAATATTAATATAAATAAGTTCCATAAGTTTATTTCCATAATTTATTTCATAGTTATTATAAACACAAATATAAGTGTGCTTTAAATTCTGGATTTCTAAAATAGTTTTTAATATTTTACAGAATATGATTACAAAGTAATGAATATTTATTGTGGAAAATTTATAAAATATGGAAAGTGTAAAGATAAAACAAAAAAATCACTATTAATCCCTTCATTTAGGAATAATTACTACTAACAGTTTGGTTTATCTACTCAGTAAATAAACTAAAATTAACTGACTACAATGTGAATATTTTCCAAGTCATTAAATATGTTTTACACTTTTTTTTAATTCCTCACTCAAGAATATTTTTCTATTTATCTTCAGATAGAGTGGGAGGGAGAGAGAGAGAAACATCCACATGAGTAGGACACATCAACTGGTTGCCTCCCGCACGACGCCAACCAGGACAGGGGACAATCCGCAACCCAGGTACCTGCCCTTGGCCAGAATTGAACCCATGACTCATGATCTGCAGGCCAACGCTCTACTACTGAGCCAAACTGGCCAGGGCTTACACATTATTTTTAATGACTATGTAGTGTTATATAAAATTAATATTTGACAATTTATTTAATCAATATTTTATCATAGGACATTTAGGTTTTTTCAAATTGTCATAACATTTCAAAACATATCACTGATGGTAAGTCTTTTTGTGAATACATATATATGTATTTTAAGATTTTGAATAACCTTTCCAACCTATCCTTCAGAATGATGTATTGACTTAAACATTTAGCAGGAGTATTTAAAAGTACCCGTTTCACCCAATTCTTGCTAATCCAGAGTAATGGCCTATTAAGAAATCATTGTCTATCTGATCTGTAAAAAATGTTATCTCCTTGTTCTGAGGATAGTTTTGTACCTGATCAGAGGAGAGAACTAGCTATTATCACCAGAGTTCTATTGTCTAATTCTAACTTCTGTGAATAGAATTTCACTTATATTAGACTTATTACTACAAGCAGAAGAAAAAGGAAAGTACTAGAAATGTTTGGTTGTCAATTTATCATTATTAGGACTAAAACAGGGTCTCTGTTTATAAAGGTGATTCTCGTATGAGCCACACATCTACAGAAACCACAAACCATAGGTAGAAAGTATATAGACAATACAAATATGCATATTAGGGAAATAGATGAATGTTTACAGTAAAAAAAAGTCATTAAATACTAAACTAAAATAATAATAATACATGGGAATTCCAAAATGGCAACGGAGTGAACGGAAGCTACACAGACTGTCTCCCAGAACCAAACTGGAAGTACAACTATAACACAGACAAATCGACGGGAAAAAGCAGCTTGTGAGGACCATATAACCAGGGACACTGACTCGATCCTGGTAGGATTGCGAAGGCATGAGAGGGGGGCCGGGAGCCCACAGACAGCAGCGGCCCTAGCTGTGAGCAGCACCCTCGGGTTAAACTCCCAAGCGGCTCCACAGCGCAGAGCCGAGACAGAGGCTAAAATAGCCACAGCCACTCACCTTGGGCTCCAGCAGAGGGAGGGCGGACTGGACTGGAACTGTGTGGGGACACTCGGGGTTTGGAGGGCACTCAGAGCTTTTGCTGAGTTGCAGCCACGCAGGACGGTGGCCATCTTGCTCCTTCCCAGGGCTCTGGGGAGAGGCAGCAGCCCCTCCCTCGTAGATCCAACCCCACCCTGTGGGCCATTGAAATGGTAACTGAGGCTCACTAACAACCAGCACCTGCCCCACCCTCGTGAAATCCCCTTACTCTGATCACCTGAGGGAGTTTTTCAATCAACTGACAACCCAAAACTCTTCAAGTAACCTCAACTGCTTAGCCTCCAGGCAAAAAGCTAGAGGATAACAGTACATTTCCTGGGCTAGCAACTTTAACCAGGAAAGTAAGATTTGACAGTGGTGTTTAACGTCAAATCTAAACGCAGGAGAGGGAGCCACAAACAGCAGAACACCAACACCCACAGGGAAAATTTGGCAGGCTCCAAAGCCCACTGTGATAACCAAAATGATGAAACACAGAAACAAAAGCCAAATGAAAGAACAAGAGACCTCCACCGAAGATGAGATCAATGTGGAGCAGGCAAGTTAACAGAGCTAGAATGCAGAGCCATGATCTTGAGGAAGCTCAACAGCATGAGTAAGGACATAGAGATGCTGAAAATAAACCAATTGGAAATTAAAAACCACCAAGAAGACATCAAAAATGACATATCAGAAACAAAGAACACATTGGAAGGTATAAAAAGCAGAGTAGAGGAAGCTGAGGACCGGATCAGTGAATTAGAAGACAGGGTAGAAAAAATCAACCAATCAGAAAACCAAAAGGAAAAAACAATTAAAAAACAGGAAGACAGCTTAAGAGAACTGTGGGACAACTGGAAACGTAGTAACATTCGTATCATAGGAGTCCCCGAAGAAGAAGAAAATGAGCAAGGGTTAGAGAATATATTCAAAGAAATAGTGACAGAAAACTTCCCTAGTTTGGTGAAGGAAGAAGGCATTCAAGATCAAGAAGCACCGAGAGCCCCAAGGAAGAAGATCCCAAACAGGCCCACACCAAGACACATAATCAAACTGCCAAAAATTAAAGACAAAGAGAGAATCCTAAAAGCAGCAAGAGATAAACAACAAGTTACCTACAAAGGAAACCCCATAAGGCTCTCAGCTGACTTCTCACAAGAAACACTACAGGCCAGAAGGGAATGGCATGAAGTAATCAAGGTCATGAAAAACAAGCATCTGAATCCAAGACTGCTCAACCCAGCAAGGCTATCATTCAGAATGGAATACCAAATAGGGTTTCACAGACAAAAAAAAAAGGCTAAGGGAATACATTAGCATCAAACCAGCACTGCAAGTAATGTTAAAAGGACTGCTGTAATTAGCAGGAGAAATAGGAAGAAAAATGGAACCACACTAAACAAAAATGGCAATAAATAAGTACATATCAATAATCACCTTAAATGTAAATGGCTTGAATGTTCCCATAAAAAGACACAGAGTAGTTGGTTGGATAAGACAGCATGACTCATCTATATGTTGTTTATAAGAGACCCACCTCACAACAAAAGACTCACATAGGTTGAAAGTGAAGGGATGGAAAAAAATTTTCCAAGCAAATGGAAAGCAAAAAAAAAAGCTGGGGTAGCAATACTCATATCTGATAAAATAGGTTTCAAAATGAAGGCCATAACTAGAGACAAAGAAGGCCACTACATAATATTGAAAGAATCTATTCAACAGGAAGATATAACCTTGATAAACACATATGCACCCAACATAGGAGCACCAAAATATATTAAAAATCTTCTGGAGGACTTCAAAGGAGAAATCGATAGCAATACAATCAGAGCAGGAGACTTCAACACCCCGTTGACACCACTGGATAGATCCTCTAGACAAAAAAATTAGCAAGGAAACAGAGACTCTAAATGAAGCACTAGACCAAATGGGTTTAATAGTTATCTACAGAGAATTACACCCCAAAACTACAGAATTCACATTCTTCTCAAGTGCACATGGGACATTCTCAAAGATAGACCACATGATAGGACACAAACTAAATCTGTACAAGTTCAAGAAGATTGAAATCATATCAAGCATCTTCTCAGATCACAATGGCATGAAACTAGAAATCAATTGCAAGAAGAACATACAAAGACATTTGAACACATGGAAGCTAAATAGCATGTTATTAAACAATGAATGGGTTACTGAGGAGATCAAGGAAGAAATTAAAAACTTCCTGGAAACCAATGAAAATGAACACAAAACAACACAAAATCTATGGAATGCAGTGAAAGCAGTTCCAAGAGGGAAGTTCACAGCACTACAGGCCTACCTCAAGAAACAAGAAAAATTTCTAATTGACTGTCTAACCTCACAACTTAAAGAAGTAGAAAGCAAACAAAAAGAAAACCCCAGAGCAAGTAGAAGGAAGGAAATAGTAAAGATCAGAGCAGAAATAAATGACATAGAGGCCAAAAAAATAAATAAAAAATTCAAAGGATCAATGAAACAAAGAGCTGGTTCTTTGAAAAGATAAACAAGATTGATGGACCCTTAGCTAGACACACCAAGAAACAAAGAGAGAGAACCCAAATACACAAAATCAGAAATGAAAGAGGAGAAGTAACAACTGACAACACAGAAATACAAAAGATTGTTAACAGCTACTATGAAGAACTATATGACAACAAATTCGACAATCTAAGCGAAATGGACAAATTTCTAGAAACACACAGTCTTCCAAAACTGGACCGGGAAGAGATAGAAAACTTGAACAGACCAATAATAGCTAAGGAAATTGAAGAGGTAGGTAATCAAGACTCTCCCACCAAACAAAAGCCCAGGCCCAGATGGCTTCACGGGGGAGTTTTACCAAACATTCAAAAAAGAACTAACACCCATTCTCCTCAAACTATTTCAAAAGTTCAAGAAGAAGGAAGACTTCCAAACTCGTTCTATGAGGCCAGCATAATTCTAATTCCAAAACCAGAAAAAGACACTACAAAGAAAGAAAACTACAGGCCAATATCCCTGATGAACATAGACGCTAAAATTCTGAACAAAATACTAGCAAATCGGATCCAGCAATACATCAAAAAAATTATTCACCATGACCAATTGGGATTCATTCCAGGGATGCAAAGCTGGTACAATATTCACAAATCAATAAAT